GGAGGGAGGGAGGGAGGGAGAGAGAGAGAGAGAGAATGAATATTGGAAGAGAAGAAGATAATTCCTTCTTTGCAACGTTCAGAAAAAATTCCAGATATGGAGGGAGAGAGAGAGAGACCCCCCACAGCATAACTCTAGAACGCCTCGAGCAATTTCAACAAAACTTGGCACACAGACTTACAAATATTGTGGGGGTTAAGACACCCCTAACGCCCCTTGGAGTGTGTTTTCTGTTAAGATACAGCCTGTTGTGCCTTAAAACCATATTGCCCTAAGATGGCTTCTATTGTACAGCGCAGTGGAATTGCCATAGTAACAGTTTCACAGTACTCTACAAGAGGTCTCCTTCTGGTAAGGGGGAAAGTCCAACCTTAGAAATTACACTCGGTCCGGACATTTCCCCCCCTCCCCCCTTATAAATAAATATCCGGGGGAATGCCAGGTTATCGGCTATTTTTAGAATCTTTATTAAATTATCTAAATTTAAGAGGGGAGGGGCGGACTCACTGTTCTTTTTGACGGCTTTGCGGGGACTCCACTCGATCTTGACATGAGCGTGGAAATCCTTGATCAGCCGCAGAGATTCCTTCAAGTTGAAAGGCTGGAAGGAGGTCTGGAACCCGGGGCTGGAAGGCTGGCTGAGGAGGAGGGAGCTCTTGGCGAAGCTTTCCAACTCGTTCTGGGGAAGGGTGGGGAAAAAGACGGTGAAAATCACACCGGAGGGTGAAGGAGAGAGTAAAGAGGGTTCAAGCAAGCAGGGGAGATATTCCCATCTGGAGTCGTTCCTCCATTTCTCAGCCCAAGCGGATAAAAAAATGGGACTTCAGTTCAGCCTGAGGATGGAGGAGAAGATGGAGATAGACGAGAAGGTGATGAAGGAGGAGAAGAAAGACAAGGAGGAGGAGGAAATGGAGAAGCTAGACAAAGAAAGAGAAGATGAAAAAGGACAAAGAGAAGATAGTTGAGAGAAGACAGAGGCAGGCAAGGAGGAGAAGATTGAAGGGGAGCCGAAAGAAGAGGAGGAGGAGATAGACGAGGAGGAAGAGAAGACGAAGAGAGGAGAAGATATAGGAGGAGAGTATGGAGAAGCAAAAGGAGAGGGAAAACATGGAGGAGGAGGAGATGGAGGAGATGGAAATAGATGAGGAGGAGATGATGGAGGAGAAGATAGATAAAAGGAGGAAGACAAGAAGATGGAGGAGGAAGAGGAGAAAAGTTGGAGAAGGAGAAGATGGAGGAGGAGAAAGGAGGAGGAGATGGAGAAGAAGGAGAAGAAGGAAAAAGAGAAGGAATAGATGGAGAACAACAAGGAGAAGATGATGATGGAGGACATGGGAATAGAGGACGATGAGAAGATGGAGGGAAAGACAGACAAGAAGGAGGAGGAGAAGACAGTGGAGGAGAAGGTGGAGGAGGAGAAGGAGGAAATGGAGGACAAGGAGGAGGAGAAGGTGCAGGAAGAGAAGAGGGAGGAGGAGAAAGGGGAGATGGAGAAGGGGAAGATGGAGAAGAAGGAAAAAGAGAAGGAATAGATGGAGAACGACAAGGAGAAGATGATGATGGAGAACATGGAAATAGAGGAGGACGATGAGAAGATGGAAGGAAAGAAAGAGAAGGAGACAGTGGAGTACGAGAAGATGGAGAAGAAGGAGAAGATGGAGAAGAAGGAGAAGATGGAGAAGAAGGAGAAGATGGAGGAGGAGGAGAGAGAGGCAGAGATGGAGAAGAGAAGGTGGAGGAGAAGAAGGAGGAGATGGAGAAGGGGAAGATGGAGAAGAAGGAAAAAGAGAAGGAATAGATGGAGAACGACAAGGAGAAGATGATGATGGAGAACATGGAAATAGAGGAGGACGATGAGAAGATGGAAGGAAAGAAAGAGAAGGAGACAGTGGAGTACGAGAAGATGGAGAAGAAGGAGAAGATGGAGAAGAAGGAGAAGATGGAGGAGAAGGAGAAGATGGAGGAGGAGGAGAGAGAGGCAGAGATGGAGAAGAGAAGGTGGAGGAGAAGAAGGAGGAGATGGAGAAGGGGAAGATGGAGAAGAAGGAAAAAGAGAAGGAATAGAACGACAAGGAGAAGATGATGAAGGAAGACATGGAAATAGAGGAGGACGATGAGAAGATGGAAGGAAAGAAAGAGAAGGAGACAGTGGAGTACGAGAAGATGGAGGAGGAGGAGGAGAAAGAGGCGGAGATGGAGAAGAAAAGGTGGA